AAAACACACACAAAAACACACACACACACAAACAAACACACACACAAACAAACACACACGAACAAACACACACACACAAACAAACACACACAAACACACACAAACACACACAAACACACAAACACACACAAACACACACAAACACACACACACACAAACACACACACAAACACACACACAAACACACACAAACACACACAACAACACACACAACAACACACAACAACACACACAAACACACACACACACACACACACAACACACAACACACACAACACACAACACACACACACCACACACAACACACACAACACACACAACACACACAACACACACAACACACACAACACACACAACACACACAACACACACAACACACACACAACACACACAACACACACACAACACACACAACACACACAACACACAAACACACAAACACACAAACACACACAAACACACACAAACACACACAAACACACACAAACACACACAACACACACAACACACACACAACACACACAACACACACAACACACACACAACACACACACACAACACACACAACACACACACACACACACAACACACACAACACACACAACACACACAACACACACAACACACACACACCACACACACAACACACGCACAACACACGCACAACACACACAACACACACAACACACACAACACACACAACACACACACACACAACACACAACACACACACAACACACACAACACAACACAACACAACACAACACAACACAACACAACACAACACAACACAGCACAGCACAGCACAGCACAGCACAGCACAGCACAACACAACACAACACAACACAACACAACACAACACAACACACACACAGCACAGCACAGCACAGCACAGCACAGCACAGCACAGCACAGCACAGCACAGCACAGCACAGCACAGCACAGCACAGCACAGCACAGCACAGCACAGCACAGCACAGCACAGCACAGCACAGCACAGCACAACACAACACAACACAACACAACACAACACAACACAACACAACACAACACAACACAACACAACACACACACACACAACACACACACAACACACACACACACAAGGATGGGAGTTTGGGGTGGGTCCCGCCCCAAACCCACCCTCCTCAAACCCACCAGAAACCGAACCAAAGCCAAAGAGCACAAAACCAACCCGCAGAAGATATTTTGATTTGATGCTTAACAAGGTTTTTTTGGTATGCCTCACCCGAGTGCTCGGGTGTTGTGAGCAGGCCAATTCGCAACAAGGCACTTCACCAAACAAGGTTGTTTTTGTTGGTACTTGTTGGCTTTGGTGTTTACATGGGGCGGTGGCATGGTTTGAGACCGGAAAATGCTTGCAGCAACCGACTGGCCTGAGCACGCACGCCTAAGGCCAAGGCCTTGAAGGCATTGTCCTCGCTCGCCTATGCGAATGCACGGTCAATTGGCCAGGCTGGGTTGAACGCAGCGGCCACGCAGCCGCCAGAGAGACAGTGCGCCAGGATGAACGCGTGCTTCCCTCCCTGCCGCGCCCATAAGTAGGATGGCCCACGATGCAAAGCCGATCTCCAGAAGTGTGTGGTTGCTAGGATATTGCTTGACTCAGGCCAGGGAAGATAACCAACTGGAAATGCGTCTGAGGTTGAGAGTTGCCCGCCTGCATTCCACAGAGGGTGCATGGGTCCTAGAGATTTCTGCACGGGATCCGCGCACGGCGGTTGTCACGTTTTGCAAGTTGGAGGTCGTGCAGCTGACCGCCATGCGGGCCATCTCCAACATGGCCTATGATCAGGACTGTCACTTACAAGAATGCAGGCATTTTTGCATTTTTTTTTGGGGTGGGGTAAGATGCAGAGGTGGGTTGTAGGTGGTTGTTCCTTTTCCCCAACAGCTGAAAGCTTTGGGGTCTCAGCCCAGATCTGCTTCGGGCTGGTCCGAGGCGGCCCTGAGGTAAGGTTCCACGAGGATTCCACCAGGGTTCCACCAGGGTTCCACCAGGGTTCCACCAGGGTTCCACCAGGGTTCCACCAGGGTTCCACTAGGGTTCCACGAGGGTTCCACGAGGTTCTGCGAGGGCTTCGGGGTGGTGCGAGCACTGAAAAGAGCACCGCATGCTGTTGGGGATATCACCTGAGCTTATTTTTCTCCGTTTCTTCTCAGGAGATTGCGCTGACAAGACTAGCGCAGCCTGATGTCTGAGCCCAAGGATGGCTGTCCGGAGCGGGTCACCTGAGCCTCTGTGTTAGGTCATGGGGCAGCTCCTGGCAGCCATGGCATCCAAAGCTGAGCCGAAGGATGATGCGTTGAGAGAGTTGCGTCAAGCGACCTTTTCTCTTGATGGCTAAAGCGTCTGCTTTTGCATTCCTCAGTCCGCAGTGGTGTCGAAAAGTGGCCAAGTTCAAAGGACAGCGTGTTAAGAGCGGCCGAAACAGACCTGCACTTCACAACCGCGTTGGCGAGCAGTTCGATGCCTCATGAAAGATGGTGTGACTGACGATGCGGATGTCGATGTCTTGTTGCATTTGATGGAAGACGACGGCCTGCCCCGAGCAGCTGGCTGCCACGACAAGTCCATGTCAAACAAGCAGGTTCGAGCACAGAAGCTCGGTCCACGCCATGCCTGCCAAACGCATGCAGCAGTCCACCGTTACACCTGGGCTGTATTGAAATTGGATTGCATGTATCTCGTTCCCAATTTTGCACGCATGCCCGATGTATCATGTTCAATATGTTCCGGTGTGGCAAGCAAGCATATCAGGTTTGCATTCTCATTCTCAGTCTTATCACCGTTCTCTCTGCGAAGCCCTGCGAAAACATGCTGTGATTGTCGTGGTGGCTGATTTTCGCTTCCGTTTTGAATTGCTGCTTTGATTTTTGGGTTGCTGGCCGTGGCACTTGGCAAAACTTGCAAACAAGTTGCCCTCCCCTTGCAACTGGGGGCCGCCAGGAGATCTCTGCGAGGGCAAGCGAAGCCTTGGCAAGGATCATTGCAGCAGAGGTGTGGGTTTCAGGGTTGAACAAAACACTTCCATTTGGTTAAGTGTTTTTTTGTTTTTAAAGGGAATCTATCACTACTGGAAATATGTTGAGCAAATGGAGGACCACAAGCAGCCTTTGCCAGGTCAAGCCAGATAGTGATGGCGCTCTGCTTAGTCAGCCGCTGTGACGGCCCAAAGGCAAAACGGAGATTCGGTCGGACGAAATCCTGCGCCACCCCGGACAGGTGGCGAAGACCCTGAAATTTCCAATGTCAGATGGGGACCGTGAGGCCTGTAAGAAAAGTGAAAGGGGTGCATGATTTCGTCTGCACACCATGGCTAGGAATTTCAACAGGGCACCCTCGAGTGAGCATGGAAAAGAGGGGATTCTTCACCTCCTCCATTTCCCAAAATGGGAACCGAAAACGAAAGAAAAAGAAACCACGGGTTAAAAAAGATCAACTTTCGAAGCGGGAAATCCAATCGAGTCCATGGGATCCGAGGTGGTGGGCCCCCGCCGGAACAGCCAGTGCAGCTGCCCGCTGGATCTCCCGGGGCGCTGTGCGGCCTCTTCCTGGCGGCGTGCCGCGGTGAGGCGAAGGGAGCCCAAATACGACTGGCATGGTGTTGATAGGCAGGGCTTGCTGGGAAGCAGCTTGTTGGTTCGATAGGTGGGTTCGACAGGGCCTGGGATTGAACAGATAGATCTCCGGAAAAAGGGATGGTTCGTAGTGATTCCCCACTTCCCTGACTCGATAGGCAGAGTGTTCGACACGGGCAGGCAGCTTGCAAGGAGATCGTGCCGCAGCTGCTTACACAGCTCTCTTCCAATGAGGCCTTGTCAGAGAGAACGCCTGAATACCCCAAACTCATCCCCCTTATCTTAAACATTGAATCTTAAATTCAAGCCGGCAACACATTTTCAGATAAGGCTTGGGTGTAGGGGTGAGGCGTCGAAGTCTCTCAACTTGGATTTGCTTGAAGCCGAAGCTGTCAAGCACAGCTCCCGATGCTCCCGCAGGTCACAGAAGCGAGGCAAGCTGCTGAGGTGCGTGGTGTGGCATGCCATCGACATGCCATCGACATGCAGCGTGCGTTTTGCATGGCAGGTCCAGATCAAGTTATGGCCTAATGTTGGATTACACGGCCAGACCATGACGAGAACCTTGTTGGCTCCTTCTTCAACCATGCCAACGCGGAACAACAGCGCGCTCTTAAAACTACCCGTGCACACCTGACAATTCCACAAGCGAAGCTGCCAAACACCAGACCACCTGAAAAGCCACAGGCGGATAGCCAAGTGGCTGGGCACCTGGAAAGCCAGGAATGCTCTGGGCAGCCAAGCCATACCTGATAAGCAAATAACACGGCTTGTGGGTGTTTTGCCCGGCCAGTGCGCGTAACAAATGCTTTGCAGATGATCTTGCTGGCGTTTCCACCAAATGCAGTAGATTGGCACGCTGTTTCAGACATGTTTTGAAACTTGGGACAGAGCTGTGAAGTGGAGCCATGCTCTACGGCCTTACGTCGACATGCGCTGCTTGCAAGATGCTCAATGTTGTTTCAGAGCACGGTGCGATTCATGTTTTGGCGCAATGGTCCGGCGGTTGTCCTACATATCCTTTTAGAGGTTGAGATGCGGCAAGAGCAGTGGCCGATCGACGGATCTTGCGGGTGGAATCAAGCAGCGCTTCCTTGGACATGGGCAGTTTCAGCAAAAACCCTCCCCTAAATGCCAAGAAGCCACACCCTACACCGCCTCAAGCCTGAACCTAGTAAACCCTCAAGCCTAAACCCTAAGCGGAGACCCTCAACATCCTACAAGCCCGGAACCTACACCCGGAAACTTTCTAAACCTAAACCATTAAAAGGCCATAAGCCTAAACAACAAACACGAAGCCTAAAACGCAGTCGTGGGCAAAATTGCCTGCTGCGGGCTCTTGCTTCATTGTTTGTTGGGCCGCGCTGCCGCCCGAATGTCACACCTCAAGAGTGAGAGAGTGGTCAGGTCATAGGGTAGAGGGCCGAAGTCTTTGAGAAGTCAATGATTCGACGTCGCGGCTGCGACTCTTTGCGCGCAGAGCGGCGCTCTGTCCAGGGCTTCACCCGCTGTGAGCAAGAGTGCAAGATCCCTGCCGACGGAGTCGGTTGGTTATCATTGGCTCACGCCTCAGGCAGTCGGGCCGACGAGTCGATGTTTGCTGCTGAAAGCCGCGCCGAGGCCAAAATCCTTTCCCCGGTGGATTCAGTACGGGATTTGCCCGCGGCGCTGGTTGAAGCAGGCAGGGCACTTGATTGGTGGCTTTGGATTGTGCCAATGATGATCCTTCAATGCAATTTAAACCAGTTTGGGGGGCGTTGCTTTGTGGACGGGTTGGAGGCGCCATCAGGGCAGCCGCCAGCATTATGACCCGTTTCGTCGATGATAGCATGGTCCAGCTGCGGAGTCCTCAAGCGCGAGCCGAGAAGTCGCCCAGCGGCGATTGACTGTGGGGGTTGGTGCAAGGACCGGCATTGAAGCCATGCGCTTCGCTCAGTTTGTCCGTACTCCGATGCCATGTTCTCACTAGAAAAAGGCGGTGTGTGTGTGTGACAAGCCGCATGCTTTGCTGTGTGCTTTGCCTGAGGTCAAGTTTGGTGGGAAATCGTTGGGCCTTGCCCTTGGTGAAAGGGATGCGAGGCAAGTTCAAAAGCACAAAGCGCCATTGAGTGACGCATTTCCGAGGCGGGCCTGCGGGCATTTGCGGATGTCGGTGGAATGGAGCCGCTGGGCTTTTCTTGTGGCATTCGTGAAATGAAACAAAGGTTCAGCAGGCCAGCACTTGGCATTTCAAAGTGCAGCCGTGCGAGAGGCTCTGTTTGTCAGCGACCAGCTTCACGCGGTAGACATCAGTCGATCTTTTTTTTCGAGACGCGCATAAAGTGAACGCGGTCGTGCGCAAGCCCGTCGGTGCATGTTCAGAACTTATCGCCAGAAGCTGAGGCGGGTTGAAGAGGCTATGAGGCGGCATGGTCAAGATGCAGTAATTCAAACCAAGGCCCTGCGTCTGTCTCAGGCAGCGTGTCAGACAGTCAGTTGTGTCATGGCAGGGTGTTCGAGCACTTGGCAGTGGTGTCCAGTGGCCTCAAGACATCCAAGAAAGAGCTCGGTATTCTCACAGGCGGGCGATCGGCTCGCCGCTCGCTCACGCTAGCGCACCATGTGTCACTCTGCTCGTGAGCTGCAGGCGTGCTGTGGAGATTACTAAGAATGCTCATGCCTTACTTTGCCAGACTTTGCACCCAGCAAGAGCTGCGGCTCGTTTTTTTGGCGCTTTGATTCATGCTAGCTTGAAGAGGCCATGTCGCAGCATGGCTCGGACATCGAGCTGCAAATTGCGGCGCTGGAGGTTGGGTCAGCACAACAGTTGGACGTGTGCAACATGGGCATGCAGGCTCTGGCAAAGTACCTAGATAAGACCAAATGTGTCTGAGCCCCAATGGCCGTGTGATTGTGGCCGGCTTGGCCCTGTGAATTGCAGAATATGCCCAAAGTAGTGACTGCACGGCTGTCGCAAGGTTGCAGACATTAAGGAAGCTGGAGGCCGGCACTTGAGACGAGGATGTTCAGCTGTTTTTGTTTTCTTTGTTGGGGGGGGGGGTTAGGAAGTTGTTTTTTTTTGCTTGGCCCTGTCTTTTGCGTAGCCCTGTCCGACCCGGTTGGTTGGTTGGTTGGTTGGTTGGTTGGTTGGTTGGCTGGCTGGTTGGTTGGTTGGTTGGTTGGTTGGTTCTCGGCATTTCGGCCTTCGGAACCGATTTCCGGATGAGGCATTAGTCACTCCATTGCCTGGCCCCCCGAAAGAGCAGCACACAAAGCCCACTCTGTGTTGGACTTCGGGACCGGCTTCTGGAGAATAAAAGGCACGAGAAATTAAAGCCACCAAAATTATCATTTGACATGCTGGGCCGCCAGTTCGCGCGGGGGGTGTCTCTCTTTTGCTGTATGGCATTCACAAGTCCACTCTTAGCCATGCACTCCCGCTGGTACTGGCTGAAGCCTGGTGCCTAGACACTGTTCCGCTACAGCAATAGTACAACGCGACAGCCAAGGGCGTCCAGTATTGAGTTTCCATGTGCACCCGCTGGTACTGGCTGAAGCCTCATGTCTAGACACTGTTCCGCTACAGCAATAGTACAACGCGACAGCCAAGGGCGTCCAGTATTGACTTTCCATGTGCACCCACTGGTACTGGCTGAAGCCTCGTGCCTAGACACTATTGCTATGGCTAAGAGTGGACTTGTGAATGCCATACAGCAAAAGAGAGACACCCCCCGCGCGAACTGGCGGCCCAGCATGTCATATGATAATTTTGGTGGCTTTAATTTCTCGTGCCTTTTATTCTCCAGAAGTCGGTCCCGAAGTCCAAAACAGAGTGGGCTTTGTGTGCTGCTCTTTCGGGGGGCCAGGCAATGGAGTGACCAATGCCCCATCTGGAAATCGGTTCCGAAGGCCGAAATGCCGAGAACTGTTGCACTCTTACTGTCCAGAAGGTGTCCCAACCAAGTAGCTCCGGGTAATGAAACTGAGCCCCAGAACGGAGACAGGGTTAAGCAAAAGACAGGGTTAAGCAAAAAAAACACCGTAGCAGCATGCCATTCTGCCATGAGGTGAAGGCCTGGTAAAGATGATGATGACAACCCACCGGTCCAATGCCAAGGCACGCAGTTTGCAAGCCGGAAAAAGAAGGCAGAAACTGCTGCTTCAGGTGCAACAGTGGGGTCAGCATGTGCTTACTGGCATTGGGGCAGGGTGCCCAGCGACTCCGGCATCCGGCTGCGTGCCCTTTTCCACTTGCTGCCAAGGCGGACCCCAACTGGGCCCCAAAGACTGGGGCTTCGCCTTGATTTTGCTGGACGTTCGACATAAGACTCGCCAAAGATCACCAGAAACAAGCGATCGAGCCATTGAACCGCTCGCTGGCCGATTCTGTACATGACTTGCCTTCGACATCCCAGCCCCCCCTCCCCAGTGACATGTCCTCAGGCACGGTCATACGTAGGTGATGATGCGCATCTTTTTCCTTATCAAAAACACTTTGTTCATTTTGCTAGTGTCTAAAACATGTGTCATTGAACGGACCTTGCTATCACCCGAATCTAAACTGCAGCCGAAATGGCAAGATGCGTTCGATGTGGAATTTGGCTAGCCCTCTTTTGACAAGTGGTCTGGTTATTTTTTGGCCAGTTCCTTGGCTTGCAGCCAGCCTGGTGAAACAGTTGGTCGGATAGGCAGCCAGTCATATAGATTTCGATGCTGCATACCAGCCCTCGCAAGAAGCAGCAAGAGGGCGGGGATTCGAGCTTTTGGGGTGGGCGGGTTGCTGGCCTGCTGGCCTGCTGGCTTGCTGGCTTGCTGGCTGGGGCTGCCAGGCTACATCCCAGAAGAGATAAACGCCGTTTTGCGCACAGTTGGCCAACCACTGCTTTTCCACTAGGTTTTGGCTGCAGCGCCCACCAAGCGAAACCCACAGAGATTTGAGCTCACTTGGATTTGGCAACAAAAGCAGCGCCCAAAGCTTTCCCGAGCAAAGCCGCCAATTTAAAGAACGCCCAGAACTTGCAAAGCAAACCCATGCAAAGAGACAAATGCAAACAACCAAATGCAACTAGCTCCTGAAAGCAAATTTTCACCATATCAAGACAATATTTCTGTTGTCCCTGTTTCCCCTTGATGCGTTGAAGGGGTCACGCATGTTTTATTGGGGGTGTTTCGGGGGTCGTCGGTTGCATAAGAGGCGAAACAACCAAATGTTCTTTATATAATGATATGGATATAATGTATATTCGATTTTTTTGTTTAGAATGAATAATAAATACATTATTTATTTTTTAAAATATAAATTTATAATGACTATTTCTAGAATAATAGCATAAAACATATTATTAAACATTATAGGGGTTTTAATTTTTAATGTAGAAGGATATATGATTTGGAAGATTGTTGGTTGGGTGTTGTGGTCGTTTTTTTTGGTTTGGATTGGGAATATTAGAATATATAGATTGGCTGTTTATAGGTGCTGCTTTGGGGTATGTAGATGGTAGGGTGTTTGGCATGTAGTTTGGTTTGGGTTGGATGGTGTTTGGGAATGTTTTTGAGGTGATGGTTCGTGTGTTTTGGGAGTGTTGTTTAGGATGATGCTGTGGATGGTTTTGAAGGGATATAATAATGAATATGATATTTTTTTCTAGATTGATGATTGGAATAGGTATTGTTTCGGGGGCATTAGTGATAATTAGGTATGTTTTGGTGAGATTGATAATAAAATATTAGAATAATTTGGGAATTTTTATATAGATATTATAAAATAATCGTTGGCATTTCGCTATTTGAGCTTTTCTTGGTATAATTTTTTAATAAGGAAGGGATATATATTTATGCAAATTGGGTATTGGTTAGGATGTTGATATGAATTTGATGGTTAGGTATGAGGGAATGTGTAAGAGATGTAATTTGAGGTGTTGTAGCATTAATAGGTTTATAATTTGGGGGGTGTTGGGGATTTAATGAATGGGAGGATATATAATTTGGGATGTTAATGGAAATAAGACATTGATGATTAGATGTTAAATATATGGGGGGTATATAATTTTGAGCGATGGTATAAAACATATTTTGGGTTATTAATCGAGAGAATATTAATTGTATAGATTTATATATATTCGAAATAATTAAATATTGTAAAAATATATATGTTTTAATGAATAAGATAAATTATACAAAATTTATATATGTTATTTTTGAATAGTTTTAATATTAATAATTATAATTAGGTTTGTTATGCGTATTAGCCTATATATAAGGGGGGAAGGTATAAGCCGATATTTATGATATATATATATATTGATAAAGGATAATTTTTAAAGATTTTTTTGTTTTTAGAGTTTTGGTATAGGTTGTTGTTGAAGGCTTTTTGGACGATGGTTATATATAAAATATAATTATTTATATGATATAGATACATATATGAATTTAATGGCAAAATGTTGTGTTGTAATTGGAACATATTTGGAATGGATTTGGAATGGGGTTAGAACGGCTTGTATTTTGCAAAAAATGTATGTAAATATGGTCGTTTTAACAATATGAGTTATATGCAAAATATATTATAAGTTGTTATATTATATTTTTCTTTTTATATTATTTCCTTATATAGCCTTATTATATTTTCGCTTATATAATATATGGTCTTTAAATAGATTTTACATAATCTTTATGCTAAAAAAACCGGATACAATTTTATAGAAACACTTTGCACGAACATTTTTTCCTTTTAACCATAGAGGAAAATAAAGAGAAAGATAATTAGCTTCATTATAACAAATTTGCGAGCCAATGCACTGTTATTTCCGGCTTTAAGTCCAGCTCCAAAGAACGGAGCTTATCGTAATAATATCGTTTCCAATTACAGGTATTCTTCTCGTTTTTCTTTCCATAAAGTAATGCCGTACGGCAAAGCTAAATAATAAATTTTTACAATCTAAACAATAATAAATTCAAAAAAAAAAATATATTTAAAATTAACAAAGCTATATCTCAAAAACGCAGCTTACACAAAGGCTTATACGAGCGAAGCTTACCCAAAAAATGCCTAAATATTCCCTATTTTTGCCTTATATAATAATAAAACACAATAATATTTCATAAAACCTAATATACAAAAAAAAATAATAAAACCATATAAATATAAATAATAATAATAATTTACAACATATACTTACACAATATTTCTTCGACAATTGTTTACAACACCTTACATCCATATAGGCTTTATTTATTCTATAAACCATATAATATAATTCTTATATAACAATTTTAAATATATATTTAAAAATCGTATCAATAACGACTAATTCGTATCGTATCAAACCAAAACCAAACCAAAATTCCGAAACACCAATATTCCTTTAAAACACATTTCTAAATCTAAAAATTAAATTCCAAAACCATATAACTTAAATTTATATATATTACTCTTAATATATTATTTATAATATATAATTAATATTAAATTTGTATTAATTTTTCATTATATTTTATTAAAAAAAATGATTTTTAATTTATATTATAATTAATTATATAAATATAATATATTTAAAATAATACAAAACTAAAAAAATAATAATATATAATTATTTCAATCAATACCTAAGAATTGTAAAATCCTATTTATAATATTAATAACATAAACATATTTTATTCATATTTCCTTAAATTTTCAAACAATCAATATTAAATCAAATTAAACTCGAATTCCACAAAAATCCAATTTTAATATACCTAACTATATTTAAAGAAAATAACCCCAAATTGAAATAAACATATCAATTTATAAAATTTATAAAATATAATATTCCGAATATTCAATATGTTGATTCCATCAACCATCATTCAATATACAAAAAAAAAGTAAATTGGTTTGTTATACAGGATATATGTATACAAATACATATATTCAGATATATAGGGGCATATAGTGAACGTCGCGTATGTTGAATAGAAATTCATGAGGGTATGTTGCTCGTTCGACGTGTAAACGTGCCACAGTGCGAGGAGCAGGCGCATGGCAGCATAGACCAGTACCTGAGCAATGCGGGGATACGTCCACAATCCAATTGCCACATGGCCGTGGGTCAAACCAATGGAATCCCATGTTGGGGTAGGTGAATTCACCACATCCATTTTAGTACCTATTTTAGTGGTTGGATTGGTTCACTGGGGGTACGGGATTTTGACCCATGGCCACATTGCGAAAAGCAACTTCTCAGCGCACGAAGAGAGACGCGTTGGCCAGGTGACTCCAGTTGGACCCGGAGGCCTCATCCCTCAGCTGATCTTCTGCGGCTCTGCACGCTGGGATTGCGCATTGCCTGTCGCAGTCCTTTTGGCGCCGCATCCAGCCTGCACGACTTGGGCATCGCTTCCGACGAGAAATCAAGGGCCGCAACAGATGGGTGTGTCCGTGTTTTTAGGGGAATCCCCTTTGGCGTTGATGTCAAAGGGAACTCAAAGGACACCACCGATGTTGGAGGGCTATTTTATGAACGCGTATACACGAAAAGCTGCAAGTTGCGTCGCACCTTGCCGTTCCGAGCGCCTTCTGCCTTGCCTTGCGCAGAATGTGATCTGCTGAGAACGACCAATAGGATGTGTAGACTCGTATATATATATATATATATATATAGATAGATAGATAGATAGATAGATAGATAGATAGATAGATAGATAGATAGATAGATAGACACATAGGATAGATAAGATAAGATAAGGCTAGATTAGAATGGATCAAATTAGATTAGACTAGACTAAGATTGGATTGATAGATAGGATAGATGGATTAGATAGATAGATAGATAGATAGATAGATAGATAGATAGATAGATAGATAGATAGATAGATAGATAGATAGATAGATGGATAGATTGATGGATGGATGGATGGATGGATGGATAGCCAATAGATTAGCTTGATTTGGAATAAACTGAATTGAATTGGATTGGAACAAATTAGATACATAGAGATTATATTACATTAGTTTAAATCGGGTTCGATTAGATCAGGCAGAACATATGGATGGATAGATAGATAGATAGATAGATAGATAGATAGACAGATGGATGGATAGATAGATAGGTAGGTAGGTAGATGGAATTATCGACAAATACATACATAGACACATGTGCATATTCATACTTCTTTCTATCTGTCCATCCCATCCCATGAAGTGCCATGTCATACAGTCCCATTCAATTCTCTCCATTCTCTTCCATCCCATCAATATGAAATGGTACCCCTCAAAACCGCAAAAAAGAAGGACATGGTGCCCACACCCCAAACAAATGGACATTTGCACTGCTTTGAGCCCAGCATTTCCTTCGGGCCGCGGGCCCAATACAGTCATTTTGGACAGGAAACAAGAAGCAAGAACCAAATCCGTTCAGGACTCAGGACTGCTTCACAATGACATCTCAGAATCTTCGTACATGTTGCGTGTTGAGGCCCATCAAATTTCAACAGCAGCATCCTGGCAAGGTTGCGGGCGTCTTGGACGTTTCGCAGGCTTCCTGGCAAATCAACCTATCCTCGGCTTGTGCTAGCTCTCAACAAGTATCGCACGTGCTACTACTGTCAAGTTCAAGGCTCCGGGACGGCCCTCACGTTGCACATTGGCATAGGGCTTCTCGAAAAACTCGAGCCACTGATTGTGTTTCTGGTTAAGCCAGGTGCAACGTTGACATGTCCAATGCAACGTGCTGGGCCGTATCCTGCGCTAACCTTATCCAATGCCCATCAGGTCTCGCTAGAACTTGTTCAAACCGGATGTGTTGGCAATGTTGTAGATGTAGACATGAGTTGTGCATCAGCATCACTTTTGGTGCAAAGTACGGTGTTGAGGGCATTGCTGCGCTCTCATCCACCATTTGGGATCACCATGCGCTCCATATACTCGTGGCACTTGCACAGCTTGATGTGCCGGAACACCTCTCTTCACTTTATTTCGACAACCCGGTTGGAAAGTAACCTTCCATTTCAGTCAAAGTATTTGCCGTGTGGCATTCTGTCGTTGCAAGTTTGAAATGCGCACGTCTCATCCTTTGCTCCCTGATAAGGAACGCTAGAGTAGTTCTCCCACTCTTGTTTTCGAAGAAGGCGAATCTTTTCGTTTTTCTCTTCTTCTCTTTTTTCTTCCTCTCCCCCTCGCTCTCTCGCTCTCTCTCTCTCTCTCTCTCTCTCTCTCCGTATTTTTGGAGTGTTCTGAGAAGCTTGCCTTGGAAGGGCGGAACCAGCCGGAAGCACTTCTTCTGGCAAACCCACCTCGTGCTTTGGCGCGAGGGAGCGAGTTGCAAATCAACACCCCGATACTAGAATGGTGCACCCAAACCCATGCCAAGAATCAAAAAGGCGGCTGCACCTCTCTTTTCTGTTGGGATTCTCCCTGAAACTCCATCTACCCAGGTTTTGATTGTGGCTCAATTGGGTGTGGGTCAAACATAGGCTAACCCCAAAATGGCTTGCCCTGGTAAACGGGAACAAGGTCAAAAACCTGCAGTCCCCTGGATCCAAGATGTGACCCATACCCAATTGGGTCACATTGAGTCACGTTGAGTCACAATCAAAACCCTGGTCTACCCAGAACCATGTGAAGACTTAAGAAAACGGCCGCAACTATTTCTGCTGGGACTGCCCCTCACAAACCGTCATTTACCCGGGTTTTGATTGTGGCTCAAACGCAGAAGTTCGGTCCTCCAATCGCCAGCACCAGCGAGGAAGATCCGAGCTCTCCCGGTGGCCCAGTCGGATACTTCGCCCACGGTCCACAGACCGGAACTTCCGGAACTGCACAAGGCAAGCGAAGTTTCAGGCACGTGTTCTGATTTTTTTGGGGGGTGCCAAGAAAAAAGAGCGGCTCTTTTTTTGGTTTCCTCTACAAAAGCAACCAAGAAAGGGGGTTCTCTAAAGAAAGAGACAGTCCCACATTTATTGCAAAATGCAAAGCATTGTCATCGTGAAGCGCCTCTCTGCAGCTTCCATCTTCTTGTCGAACTACCCTTACAAGCACTCTTACCTGGCGAGTGATTACTCGTTTTACCCACTCAAGTTCAAATTCTTGCCTCCTTTGGATAGAAGCCAACAGCGGCTTTTTGCAAGCAGTAGAGCCTTCGATTGTCCAGGGTGTACCTGTCTCGCCAAGAAATGGCCATGGGTCAAAATCCAAATCGTACCCCAGTGAACATCCCAATCCAACCACTAAAATAAAGCCTACAATAGACGTGGTGAATTCACCTACCCCAAAATGGGATCCCCAAAATAGGTTCTGAAATGGGTGGCGAATTCACCTACCCCAAAATGGGTGTGGCTCAAAATTAAACAGCAGGGGTTACGCAGGTTTTGGTCCATGTTGCCACTCACCAGGGTTGATTTTGGTACCGTTTTTTTTGAGCCACAGCCAAATGGTACCATTGGTTTTGACAACCACAGCCAACTTGGACACCCATGCCATGCCATGCCAATTGCCATGCAGCCGGCATTGCGCACCACTCGCGTTCTCCGTACAGCTCATTGCCTTCTTCGTCAAAGACCTGTGAGCCATCCTGCAAGAAACATGAACACAAAACACACACACACACATAACACATACAACACACATACACACCCATTTACATATGGGTATATATACAAATACATATATGTATGTACATATATACATATATACATATACAAATATATAAATATAGTGAAGCTGTGAAGCCTGGTCACAAGCAGAACGCGTCATGCCTCCTTCCGCAGCTTGATCCGCCAAAGAATGACTTCGATCTCCGGAAACTGTGGCTCCAGCAGCCTGGCCGTCCAGATCTTGCGACGTGGCAAAGGCCAGCGGCAAGCCGGGCTCACCACCACTCTGCTGCTGGCACGCCAAACTCCTGCAATGACAAACTGGCTGTGGGTGAGAAGTAGGTACCCAAAATGGACTTACCAAAGACTAAAACCAAAAACCTGCGGTCCCCTGGTGGCTTAATCTTGACCCACACCCAACTGGGAAACTTGTCATGGAGATGATGTGGCTGTGGGTCAAAACCCAAATCGTACCCCTGGTGAACATCCCAATCCCCGCTAAAATCGGTACTAAAATGGGTGGTGCACCTACCCCGAAATGGGATCCCATTGGTGTTGACCCAGAGCCATGTTGTCCTTAAGCTGATCATCATCATCATCAGCCAGCGGAGCAATCTTTTTGGAGCCTCGGCTTCTGCTACTTGGCCAAACATCGCAAGGCTTCAGCGCAAGGGCGGTGCGAATGGACTCTACAGCCGAGTCGATCGGCCGGCCATCCTGGTTCCAGAGGCTCGAAACATGAGCCACGCTTGCAGCGCGGCCTGGAAGTCTGGGCGGATGTGATTCTGGGAAAAGTAGATCTGGGCGGGAGGTAGCAGCCTTGGCATGTTCCCTAGGCACATGGGCGCAATGAGCCTGCTGACTCGGCAACACGTTGGTTTCTGGCCTGAACTGTTCCACATCGAAGTCTTCCTCCTTTCTCGCTGGAGAGTAATCTGTGATTTATGCCAACTGAGCAGGATTTTTTTAATATTTTTTTCGGGGGTGTATCTGCCCTATACACTGGCAGACATGCCTGCGCTGAGCCTCCGCGGGTGTGCAAAACCGTGGAAGGGTGCCTACGCGAGCCTACGCAGACTTTTTCTCGGGCGCTACTCGAGTCACAACAAGCTTCTGTGAGGTTAAGCATGCCTACGCGAACCTGCCTACCAAGGATTTAACAACCCATGCGGACTGACTACACAAATCGCTGGCCCCAGAGTTGCCTACGCGATGCCTCAGCAACAGAAAAGGAGTTCCCCTCAGCGAACACATCAGAAAAAACTCTGCTCAACAGTCCTGGCAGCCCATCAGTTGCCGCAGGACTGAAGCTGCATCAGCTGCAGCTGCCTCCTTTTCAAACTGCAAGGAAGGCACAGCAAAGCTCGGCATATGGGATTCATCGCGATATGTCCTGCACCGGCTCGGATCTGCTTGCACCTGGCGCGAGAATATCGCACGGGGCCTTGTCTCCGCCTCTCGCCGACCTCTGCGAACAGCCTTGGACATTGCATGTGGCCTTGGTGCAATTGGCGATCCATGTGCAGTGCGCCGGTCACTTCATTAGCATCCCGAGGCCAGCTCCATATTCAGCCCTTGCTTAGCAAGAGCGATTTGACATCTACGCTTGTTGCTCAGCTGATGCTGGCATGGACTTGAATGATGGTTGATGAGACTCATGGCGGGCCAGTGCAGGCTTCGAACGACAAGGAAAACGATGCAATACATCCTTTGAGCACTTGCTGGATGTGGCCTCGCTGATTGAATGAGCCTTGTTGCTCCGCTTTGACGCTCCTAAGCTATGCAAACATCTTCTCTGCGCTTTCGCATATCGTAGTCCGGTTCATGTTGGAGAGAGTCCTAGCTCTGGCCTCTTTTTCCTTGGGCAGATTTCAAGCTCCACGGGAAGCTAGACAGACGGACCCGCAAGCACAAAGCAGCCACCCAATAAACTTTTGTTTCGACCATGGTTGTACCCTCACTGACACCCACTGAACCAAGGAGTGACCCTCAGATAAAGGGGATTGTGACTTCAGGTAGTTCTCAATCGCAACCAGTTGTCCGCGGTGCTTTGGGCCTGTCGATCCTGTGCCTTCGGCATCTGACATGCTCCCATCCCTCAAAGGCGTCACTCAGACGAGTCCCAGCGGCAAGTGCATTGATGGCCCAAGGGTGGAAACCTTGCCGAGTGAAGTGGCTTTGGCCTAGCGCAGAAGCACTGGTCAGTGTCACCAGAGAAACATGTCAGTTTTGTGCCCAAAGAAGAGTAGTTGATAGACATCCATCACAATGAGAGTGCATCCGCTGCAGGTCAGTGTAAAATCAAGCATTGGACAAACAAACTAGCGGACAAGTGGTGGAAGCGGGAATGTGGGGGGGAATTCCTTCAGGTCATCCCCTTTGAATTCACATGTGAATTCATTCTATGTCCTGCTTCCCCCTCCTGTCCTGCTTCCCCCATAATTGGTGACGGGGTGAGCCTTCTTCTCGTTTTCCCTCTCCCGCGCTTGCAGCCACTTCGCCCTGGTCGACTCTTCCATGCTCGAAACGAGGCAACGGCAATGCGATAATGCCTCGCAGCTCCATCGGGGTCATAGTCAGGTAGCCATTCCGGGCTGTTTGTCCTGACACTTTTAACCAGCACCTTGTCCCAAGCAGTGCAAAGAGCTCCCGACCGATTCTTGCTGCTCTGACTTTGACCTGTTCTTGCTGCCCTTGATAGAACTGACTGCTCTGTAATTGAAATTGCGAGCAAACTAAGCCATCTGCTTCGTGTCAATGTGTAGGCTGCAGCTGGGCCAAGGCAAGCTATGCGACGCATGTTGTGCATGCTCCATGGATATGCTTTCTCCTGCCTTGCGCCGCTAAGTTCGCATGCGCAAGCATTGCTCGCATTTGTTCTAAGCCCAGGGCGACCAAGCCGCTTCTCCTTTCTCTGCAAAGGGGTGGTGCTTCCGACCTTTTCAGCAAAACCCCACTTCGGCAACTGAATCGGTACATCTGCAGAATTCAGGCAGCATTGGGCCCTGGCGACGGCCTTCTCCCATAGTGCCTCTCGCGGCAAGGTACGGTACCTTGTCAAGCGAAACGGTCGCTTGCAACGCTCGTGAAGTTTACTCCTGAAGGATGACGTTTCATGCGGCCAAACCCTTTCATACTTAAGCCCACTCTTAACAGGAACCAGGGCATGGTTGCAGCATTTTGTTGGCCCAAACGGACGACGCATCCTTGCCTTGGCCCGAGTAGAGCCATGAGATCTCCCAGGCGCTCGATCATGTCAGGCCTCTGCACGGGAAGCTGCCCGACATCTCTTTTTAAGTCAAATGGGGCGCCGACGGATCACGGGGCCGCACCCCTGTCAATGACTTACGTCAAGTCACGGCACTTGAGTCACAATCAAAGCACGGTATCAAAATGGTCGACCCAGAACAATGCTTCAAGAATTAAGAAGGCGGATTTCCGCAGCTGTTTATGGCTGGGGTTGTCCCTAACATTCACTTACGCGAGTTTTGGTTGTGACTCACTTGACTTGATCTGTCAAGTCTCGTTGCCTCTGCCCCAATCCGCTCTAAGCGCAGCAGCTTCGGCATCTGCTGCCTGGAACAACTCCTCCTCGGATTGGCCAAAGGTTCAAGGATCAGAACCCGAATTGCTATTTGCTATTTGGCCGGCTGTTCAAAACCCAAATCGTCCCAGTGAACCCAAAATCGGCTATACTAAAATGGGTGGTGAATTCGCGGATCCCCCATGGGATCACATGGGTTTCGACAGCCATTTGCTCAGCCCGCCTCCCAGCTCGTGGCTCCGAAAAGGCGATCCTCCTCAGTTTCTTGGGCATCCACAGGTCCTGACATGTATGTCGCCATTCCCTCGGAACCAGCGAATCAGCGAATCTATGTCTTCCAATTTCTACGTTTGCACGCTCTCTCTGTCTCTCGCTCTCCAATGCCTTGGAAAAATCCTCCAAAGCCCGAAGACTTGGCAAATGTCCTGGGCAAGGCTCTGAATCATCTTATCTGGCAGGCTTGCGGTTTGGCATGCTCTTTGCAACTCTTTGCACAGTGCAGCCTCTCAAGCACTCATGGGCGCGTCCTCTTTTTGGGAGACGGTCGCCTGACCAAACTTGCCGGACAAGCAACGTTGAGTGCTGCCAACCAGCACATGATGTCTGATTCATGGTGAAACCAACATGTCAACTTGCAAACGTTCTTAGCCTGAATTTGGTAGTAGATGTCGAGGTTGAGGCAACAAAGGAGTCTCCTCTAAGCTCACAATTCGAACTGCGCTCACTTGAATTTTGCTTTACCAGCAACGTCCTGTGACATCCAGCGGCTCCATCACAGTATGGTGCCCAGAGCTCACCTTGGGCCCCTCAGCCTGCAACGGAGGATTGTAACCTGTCCTTTCATGGTCGGACGGTGTGCACCTGTATAGTGCCTGTCTCTGTGTTTGCGTCTGTGTGCCTGTGTATCTTTGTTTGTCTGTGTTGTTTAGAGACCGGGTGTTGGTGGGGATGTGATTTTGACGTGAAAACTTTGGTCTTTTTTCATGGGTGCGCTTGTGCGTGTGTGTGTGTGTGGTGGAGTAGATTTGACAAGCAAGCAATCCGGCGAGTCGAAGACGCGCCTGTGGCTCCGACCAAACCGCCTCGAGGTCGGAAGTAAGTCTTTGCCTTCGATGTATCTGCGAAGCTGGCCTCACATGGGTATGGGTCAAAGATAGGTACGAGTACCCAAAAAGAACCTCGGTAAATGGAAACATAGACTAAAACCCGCGGTCCCTGGTGGTTTAATTTTGACGCACAGCCACATGGGAACTTTGCTAGGATATCGGAGTTTTATGGGGAGCCACCTGAAAAGTAGACATGAATTGGGATGCGGATTGAATCTTGAGGTCCGCCGAAGACTCCCCCATCAACATTCATGCCCACATCGAGTTGGGGTGAGCAAAAGCTGGCTTCGCTTGAGTCATTGACCTGTCGCTGGCAGCCCCAGGATGAACGCAAGGATGCATCCATGCGGGGTGCGAGGCTGCAAAGCCTCAAAGTCGACCGGCGGAGTGGGCGAAATGGAACGTGCAAACGTGCAGGCATCACGCGTTGCCACTTTTCCTGGAGACTGAGGCGCAAATGCCTCGGTTCAGATGGGGTGTGTGTCAAGATAGGGCAACTCCCCAAATGGCAGGTTTCATGTTGGCTTCAAAAGAGAACCCTTAAAAAAGACTGGCAATTGTGAGAGGCTCTGATGCGAGCCTCATCCACATAAGACGGGCTTCGAGCGAATGCAGGGCTTGACCTGAGGATACAACGAGAAGCAGGGCCTCTCTGTTTCTGTTTTTCCCCAGATAGCTGAAAGCTATAGGGGTTCTAACTTCTAATAAAGAGGGGAAAGTGATTTGCGAGATTGAGGGCCGGGTGCTAGGAGGCATGCAGTTTGAGGTGCTGGTGGATGCTGCTTTGCGAGCTTGACGGCCGGGTGCTAGGGGGCATGCAGTTTGAGGTGCTGGTGGATGCTGCTTTGCGAGATTGAGGGCCGGGTGCTAGGGGGCATGCAGTTTGAGGTGCTGGTGGATGCTGCTTTGCGAGCTTGACGGCCGGGTGCTATGGGGGGCATGCAGTTTGAGGTGCTGGTGGATGCTGCTTTGCGAGCTTGACGGCCGGGTGCTAGGGGGCATGCAGTTTGAGGTGCTGGTGGATGCTGCTTTGCGAGCTTGACGGCCGGGTGCTAGGGGGCATGCAGTTTGGGGTGCTGGTGGGTGCTGCTTTGCGGGGTGCTAGGGGGCATGCGGTTTGGGGTGCTGGTGGGTGCTGCTTTGCGAGCTTGACGGCCGGGTGCTAGGGGGCATGCAGTTTGGGGTGCTGGTGGGTGCTGCCTTGCGAGCTTGACGGCCGGGTGCTAGGGGGCATGCAGTGTGGGGTGCTGGTGGATGCTGCTTTGCGAGCTTGACGGCCGGGTGCTAGGGGGCATGGGGGGCATGCAGTTTGGGGTGCTGGTGGATGCTGCTTTGCGAGCTTGACGGCCGGGTGCTAGGGGGCATGCAGTTTGGGGTGCTGGTGGGTGCTGCTTTGCGAGCTTGACGGCCGGGTGCTAGGGGGCATGCAGTTTGGGGTGCTGGTGGGTGCTGCTTTGCGAGCTTGACGGCCGGGTGCTAGGGGGCATGCAGTTTGGGGTGCTGGTAGGTGCTGCTTTGCGAGCTTGACGGCCGGGTGCTAGAGGGCATGCAGTTTGGGTGCTGGTGGATGCTGCTTTGCAAGCTTGACGGCCGGGTGCTATGCAGTTGGGGGTGCTGGTGGGTGCTGCTTTGCGGGTGCTACGGGGCATGCAGTTTGGGGTGCTGGTAGATGCTGCTTTGCGAGCTTGACGGCCGGGTGGGGGCTGCTGATTTGCGAGCTGGCCGGCGAGCTTGACGGCCGGGTGCTCGGGGGCATGCAGTTTCGGGTGCTGGTGGATGCTATTTTTCGAGCTTGACGGCTGGGTGCTGGGGGCATGCAGTTTGGGGTGCTGGTGGATGCTGTTTTGTTTTTCGAGCTGGCCGGGTGCTAGGGGCATGCAGTTTGGGGTGCTGGTGGATGCTGTTTTGCGAGCTTGACGGCCGGGTGCTGGGGGGCATGCAGTTTGGGCTGCTGGTGGATGCTGTTTTGCGAGCTGGCCGGGTGCTAGGGGGCATGCAGTTTGGGGTGCTGGTGGATGCTGTTTTGCGAGCTTGACGGCCGGTTCTAGGGGGCATGCAGTTTGGGGTGCTGGTGGATGCTGCTTTGCGAGCTTGACGGCCGGGTGCTAAGGGGCATGCAGTTTGAGGCGCGGGTGGATGCTGCTTTGGTTGTACCGGGTGCTAGGGGGCATGTTTGGGGTGCTGGTGGATGCTGTTCGCGTGTAACGGTTCGTGGCTGGTGTATCGTCATGATGTTCCCACGTTATGGTGTGTGGGTGTAGTGGCGCCGTGATGCTGTCAACATCAGGATGATGCAGAATTTCATTAAGCTGTCGCAAGATGGTTCGTGGCTGTGGTATCATCATGATGCTGCCTTTACCATCAGCATGATGCTGTTCGCATCACCATGATGCTGTCCGCATCATCATGATGCTGTCCGCATCATCATGATGCTGTCGAACTCATCAGGACCTCGTTTTTGCTTTTTCCTGCCGGATTGCTCTCAAAATCATCATTATGCTGCTGATCTCATTAGGACGTTGTCTGCGCGTTTGTTTCGTGGCTGTGGTGTGATCATGGTCTACATCATCATGATAATGCTGCGTCATGGTTCGTATCCGTGGTGTGCTATCTGGGGTCTATGCTGGTGTATTTTCTTTCTTCTTCTGAGCAGCTGAAAGCTATGGTGTCTCAAAACGAGATCCGGTTCCAAGAAGTTCAAAGGCTGTTGGCCCGCCTTGGCTTTGGGGGTTCCCTGTCTTCGGTGGCTTCAAGGAAAGCCAAAAGGGAAACCTCTAGGGGTTGATTTCTGTGTCCCCTGGGTTTGTGATGGTTTGCTGAAAAGAAGGATCCCTGGAAAGAGTGGGGAAGGTACCCCTAGAAAACCAGCATTTCCGGGGTCTAAAACAAGACACACCCACGCGGGGACAGCTCAGTTGCCGGCGCGCTCCTCGTTGGGCTTGCGGGTGGGCTGGTAGCCTCCATATGGAAACCAAAAGGCTGTGTCTTTTGGGTCGGACCCCCCATTGGTGGTTTTCCCTTTGGTTTTCCGTTATTACAACCAATCCCAAGTAGGGGTACCCTTAAAAAGAGACAGACCCAGAAGGAAAACCCCACCAATTTGGGGTCGCTCTCTTTTGACAGCCCAAATTGAGCATGTGGCTGGTCGAGATGCCTTAGGCATATCCACTCGCGTGGATGATCGATGTCGACTGTCAACCGAAAGAACCCAAGTATCCAAATGAGCCAGTCATATCCATCTGCTTGCGCCGAACAAAGGCTCCAGCTCCAAATTCATCACGATCACTTTCATGCTTGGCTTTGAAGTGGGCCTTGGATGCTCTGACTTGCAACACATGGCCATGGGTCAAAATCCCATACCCCCAGTGAACATCCCAATCCCCACTAAAATAGGCTCTAAGATCGGCAATTCACCTACCCCAAACCCACATCAAGTGCCCAAAACCCGCACTCAGGCTCAGTCTTGAAGCTCCTTTTCAATGAGAAGCGACTTTTGTCTCTTGAACTCAGCCTGCGACAAGCTGAGAAACAAATAGGTATGGGTCAAAACTAGGGTACTGCGGTCCGATTCCTGGTGGTTTAATTTCGACCCATACCCAAATACAGACTTAGGGGAGGCTCGCCCCCGGCCTTGCGCAATCCGCACTTCTTAAAGTGCCGAGAAATCCTTGCCACCAAAATGTAAGGCCGTGCTCGTGCAAGGCCAGGACATGTTTCCTCTTTCTTGGCTTGCACTGATCAACTGATCAACATCCAGTCCGCACACCTCCCTGCCAATCTACGCGAAAAGGTAGCCGAGCACAGCACTGGTTGCTCAACTTTGTGACTTGCACAGCTTTTGATTCACCAGGCCTGGCAAGCAGAGTCAATGGTGTACCATTTTACCATGTAACGAATTAACAAGGCGGCTGCACCTAGGTGTTTTTTCCCTTGGGATTACCCCTCCTCCGTCTACCCGGGTGTGCTCCATTGACTCGTCCCACGTATGGTTGGGACTGTCCCTTACCGATGGGGATTGATCAAAAGGTCCTTTACCTGGGGTGACCATTAGGGAAACCACCAACAAGATGACTTTCACCACAAAATGGGGAAAGTTACCCATGGTCATATTGGGGCCTGAATGCAAGATCACCCCCCGATTTTCATCCACCCGGGTTGGCAAGTGGAGTCTCCAGCGCAAGCGCGCCTCGGTGCTGGTGCCATGGCAGGCCTCGTGGCAAAACCAATCGCGCAACATCTGTTCAGAGAAGTGTCCTGCTTTTTTCGGCTTCTCTTTCTCGGTACTCTTTTGAGGCTTCTCGTTTTGAGGTGTTCTTTTTTTGGGGGTGGTTTTCAAGGGAATCCAAAGCGTAGCCACCAACCTGTGCGGATTCCTCCCTTTGAGACCATACATCGATGCCCGTGCCTTCAGCAGGGCGCCAGCCACGATGCGCCCAAGAGTACCCCTAAAAACATGAAGTCACTGACTGCAAAGCATAGTTGGTTGCCTTGGCTGGTTGGCTGCATGCTTTCTTGCTTGCTTGGTTCTGGTGGTGCCATGCCTCTTTGACTGGCTCAACATGCCTACAAATTGCTCCCTTGTCCTCAAACTGTACTGCTATTTGCGAGTAGAGCCCGTGTACTCTGCGGCCGACAGAGGCAGGCCTGTGCGAGAGCATTCAGCAGGGGGTATGCTTGCTAGGCACAACGTATCCACTGCTAAGGCAGCTGAAGAAGCTTTGCACATTTTTTGCCACCCTCAGCCAAAGGTCTGATTTGCATTTGGTACCTGGCAGCCAAAGTAGCAAAAGTCCGACTGTAAACATACAGAACACATCGGATGGATACGCCAAGCTGTCTTCGCAGTGTCCTTTTAGGGGATATTGATGGCCCTGGTAGATGATTAAACCCCCAGGTAACCAGGGCCATCTATTTTTCTAGCAAAACAACCAAAAAGGACACCTATGTGTCTGCGTCGTTGCCTCATCTTCTGAGAACTTCCAGTCAAGCACGGCCTGGAGCAGCTGATGTTCTTGAGGATACCTTTTTGGGGTTGGTGTAAGAGATCCCCCTCAAGGAATCTCACGAATCAACTACCCGCCCCCGAAATGTTTAAATCCCAAAGGGACACATCGGAGCCCTGTTTAAGGCGAAACGAAGAGGAACACCCACCACTTTGGGGTCCCACTCTGACCCCATTTGTACAAGTACGGCCTCGGAGAAGGGCCTGACTGGCAGGCTGCTTTTGGCAGCACCTGAAATCTGGCATTTAACAGGATACACAACCACTGGCCACAAAAAAGAGGGGTACCCCATGTTTCCCTCAAATCTTTGGTCAGTGGAAACCACCGCGTCGAAACTCTGCTGGTGTCCGGGGTACCAACTCCAAAAGCTCTCCTTCGCCGCTTGGCTGGCCTTCGACTCCTCCACCTGCCGCAGGATCTGGTGGCATGCTCGCAGATCAACCAACTGAAACTGGCCATGGGTCAAAATCCAAATCGCACCCCCAGTGAACATCCCAATCCCCACTAAAATAGGTTCCAAAATGGGTGGTGCACCTACCCCAAAATGGTACCATTGGTTTTGACCCACAGCCAACTGGCTGATTCCTAGGCAAAGTGCCCCGCTGTGGAAAGCACGTCGTGTTGGCCAGGACCCGCAGTGTTTTTGGAGGCGTTGAAAATCTATCGCATGCATGTGTGTGTGTGTGCGCAGTCCCGCGCTTATGATTTGGCAGGCATGTGCGCAGTGCTACGGGGAGGTGTGCATTTCATATGGCTGGCATATGCACAGTGCTACGCGAAAGTACTTGAGCGGGCGTGCTTATCATTTGGCAGGCGCGGGCGCAGTGCTACGCTGCGAGCTTGAGCGGGTGTGCTTATCATTTAGCAGCGTGTGTGCAGCGCTGCATATCATTTGGCAGGCTGAGAAGGCGAAGTGAACAAGTTGTGTGTTGCAGCCGGGCCGAACGTAATCATTTCTGCCCCGAACCCCCTCACCGGATTCCGACAAATTGGTGTCGTGTTGCGCCTTGTGATAGCTGAAAACTGTGCCCATGAAATCTGAAAACAAACCGAAAAGAAGGATGATGTCCATGAGAACCTCCAGATTACATAAGACCAAGTTGGAAAGCACCATGGACGTACTCAACATGGTGCATCACAGTTTCCTAGTCATCCAATTCGCGGAGTCACAGAGTCTCCTGCAGCTCACAAAGAACCTGTGAAACCGTCAGCCAAGGGTGGCTCACAAAATCAAGTTGTTTGGACCACTCAAACAATACTGACTGAGGAAATTTCGAGGGTTTTCAGCAAAATGATCCCATGTCATTCGGATGGCGACAAAATCAAATGTGATTGAGCCAGAAATCACAGGATTTTCCCTACAGCTGATCATTTGACATTTGGGTATGGGCGAAAATTAAACCACCAGGGGACCGCAGGTTTTTTGTTTTAGTCTTTGGTTCCATTCACCAGGAATCCATTTTGGATACCTATTTTGACCCACAGCCATTTGACGGGCTTCCAATGAAACCATCGCCACTGGAGGCTCCTAAACGAGACATGGGCCGGAATCCCAAGCCGGCACCTCCTTGCAGTATCGCCACTTGAAGATGTCTGCTCCACATGCCTCGGCGCAGCGCTTCCAACACTTCACATTTGGGTGTCTTTTTGAGGCTACGGGGTTGCTTTGCAGGGAGCCAAAGTGAAAACCCGCATGTCTTTTTTCTTGGGGGGTTCTCCAATCTTAAGACACGCCCATTTGCCACTGAGGGCGTCACCACTCTGTGCGCTTCGACCGCCAAACGAGCCTGAGCTGCAAATGGCATATAAGCGTAGTCAATACCAGCAGGCCAATGCTCGACGAAGTGGTTCCTTTCCACTGAGCTTCTGACATACTTAGCACAGTCGCCTGTGATTTCAGCAGCGCACAGGGACGCCTCCAGATGTGTGGGTTGATCAAAAAATCCTTTACATGGGATGACCACTGGGAGAACCACTAAACGACAAACGGAATATTGATCAACCCTTTGTTCTGCAGACGCAAGGCGAAGAAACGCGGCGCAAGGCTAGACCATTTCAGTCGCCCACTGCCAGCCTGTGTAGCATAAACCGCGATAGCTTCGTCAAACGGTGGGCAGTGGTGGCAGCTGAAAGCAGCTAGAACTCGCCACACCTCTCATGCAAGAGCAACAGTCGGCTGTGGCTCAAAGAGATGTACCAAAATGGCCCCCTTGGTACATGGAACCAAAGACTAAAACTTGCGTAACCCCAGCTCTTGAATTTTGAGCCACACCCAGTTCGACCTGGAATCAACAGCTCAGCCTTCAGCGCTTCTTCCCAGCGCCCAAGCTGCATGAGTGCAACAGCCTCAATGAATTTGCCCAGTTTCCGATGCACTTGGCTGTGGTTGTCAAAAATAGGCTAACCCCAAAACGGCTTGGCCTGGTAAATGGACACATGGACATTCAAACCTGCGGTCCGAGTCCTGGCATTTCGACCCGCCTGAACCACGCGAAGCTCTTGAGCATCTTTGCCGAGCAAGACCACGGTCTTGCCGGTGCCCTCCTTCGTCTCCTGGGGATATCGTTTGTCAAAATGAAGGACGCCTGGTGCCGGGTTTCCTTTCGGCTTCTTAAAACCAAAAAGGAGCCCTAGTTGGAGAAACACCCATGCGTCTAGGACAATCCTTAACGACTTTGTTCCCAAGAGCACCTCGATTTTGTCGGATCAGGGCGGTGCTTCCTTTTGTTGCGCGGGGCCGTATCATTTTCTTACCTGCTTGCGCCTTACGCCAAGCCTACACCGCCTACGCCAAAAGCGACCACTCCTGCGCAAACGCATGCACGAAACCAAGTCGACGGGGCGGCTGCCTACGCGCCTACGCGACAACACGACTCAACACGTTTCGGGCTGCGCGAAATCGCAACTTGTAGCACGCGCGTAGTACACGCAGTGCACTTTGGCAGCTCCAGCTGGAAATTCACAACTTCTCACACTTTGGCAGCTCCAGCTCGAACATCGCAACTTGTCAGTACAAGTGGAGTAGAGGCACACCAGCTCCAGCTCTAAAATCGCAGCTTTAACGGGAACCGTTGGCAGACAAGTGCACTTTGACTCACCCAATGTCGGGGTTGGCCCTTTTGTTTTTTTTGTACAAAATGCCACCTCTTGGTGGTTCACGAGGCTGGCATACCTCCAAAAGAAAACTGGAATCCATAAATAAGGGAACCTCCGGCGCTACTCTCAGTACACTATGGCAGCTCCAGCTTGAGAAGCGGGACAAGGGAAGGACGAGCCCACAAGGCCCCCTCGGTTGAATTTTAAACGTCATGCCTGCACGACGCCTACGCGAAGCCTTCGCAAAATCTGCCTGACATTTTGAACTTGGGAAACGGCGTGTTTGTTGCTACGCAAGCCGGCAGGCTATCCTCGCAACAACGCTTCACATCATTGACCCCTTCATAAGAGCACGCGCCATGTGACATGTCAACCTATCAACTCGTCACTGGCACAACACGAGCCTCTGCGAAACGCCTACGACATGAGTCTTGGTACATGGCATTCCTGCATCCGTAGTACCTGTTCTGCAAAACAAACATTTGACATGCGCTCAGCAGCTTGAAATTCTGGCAATATCATGCCTTGAATGTCTGGCCCCCCCTACAGAACGTAAACCCGGTATGTGCCAGCCGGAACATGTGAACATGTGAAGCATTCAGGAAACTCTGCCATTGCTTGAGTGGCGGTCGCTAAGCTCAATCTGTATGGGACTGGGTTCCGCAGCCGTTCGTCCTCATCAACTTCGTGATCCTTCTCTGGTTGCTCCTGTCTTTTGGCTTGAAGACCGTTGTGAGATGTCATGGAAAAATCCTTTGTTTTGCGAGTGTGACCATGCACCTTGCGCTAGATGCCTCTGCCCTTTGCTTCACAATCTGCTCCTCTTCACCCTCCTCTCCCTCATCCAGCTGCCCGCTGAGTGCTGCTGCGACTGCTTCAACTCTTTCCTTCACGTCACACGTATGCACCTCTCTATAAGTCCCGCCTGGCCTCGGGCGGCAGCAAAGTGAGCCTGGCTTGAACTTGGGCGTCCATTCGCATAAAGTTCCTCGCGGGAGCTCACAGAGCGTCAGAGCGTTGCGCTGGGCCGAGTCACGGCGTCCTCGACGCTCCAAGCCTCTCGAACTTTCAAGGACGAAAAACAAAAATACTCGAGAGATTTCGCGAGCCGAGCGTTGAGCGTGTTTGAGGCCGGCACTCAGGGGGCTGATTCAACGTGCAGGGTCTGCAGGTACATGTGAAGTCTCTGTTCAGTGACCTCGTGGGGTACTCCGTCGGGGCCCCGCGCTCATGAATCGAATTCCAGGCCAAGGGCTGACTGCGCAAGGACTTCGGCGCGCACAGGAGCTCGGACCTGGCTCCAGTGCTCAGTCTACATGACGGCAGGTGAGTCATAATCAAAACCCGGTAGTAAAATGGTGGACTCAGAACCATGTATAGAATTAAGAAGGCGGCCGCAACTATTTCTGGTCGGGATTGTCCCTAAGCTTCATTTACGCGGGGTTTTGATTGTGGCTCAGGTGCTCTTCTCAGGATGATGCTCAATATAGCTGATGCAAAGCCTCAGGGTGAGGCAAACACCAATGAAAGACGTTTGAAGCCGGGCAGGGCATGCTGAGCGACCAGCTCGTCTCCGGCTTGCAGCCTTCGACTTGTCACGAAGGCTGTCAGGTCGCCAATTGAGCACCGCTGCACTGTAGGCCTCAGGCATCAATTACTCACCGGCCTTCCGGATCAAACATTGAGTCACTGAGTCTGCGGCTCGCATGAGTGGTTGAAGCCACTGGCCAGAGCAAACAGCCCAGAGCCCGTGAGAGCCGTGAAGTTCGCATGATGACCTGCAAAAGTCACGACGCACGTGACAACAAAGCCTATCAGCCCATGATCTCAGATGCCCACACAGCTGCTCCGAGTTCGTATAAAAGCCCAAAGAATTCAAGCCTTGGCGGAAAGCACATGTCATTGTTTGCTGTAGCCACCCATGCTGCCCTGCCCAGGAACAGTGTGTAATGACAATCGACAATGCTACCGCTCTGCAATGCTAACCCCTGACCCGCAACATTCCATGGACACTAGCAGTTGTGCGTCCTGAGACTGCGGCGCACAACATCTTGCAGTCGACTCTTTGCGGCTTCCGGAATGTCGAGCTGCTGCCAACCAACAGCAATTGCATCCTTCATGGCAGCAACTGCTTCTGGGTCATCCTCCTGAGCACAAAGCAACCAAGAAAACAGCACACAGACTGCAAGGCTATGCTGGTCCTCATCGTCTGAACTTGAAGCCTGCATATGCTCCTACACTTCCAGCCGGCAAAACGATTCACGTTCAAGGCTCATGCTCCTCAGGATGAAAGTGCTTGAGGAGCAAAGCCAAGCTTGATGAGTAGCAATGCGCCAGTTCTAGTCCTCAATCTGGATTTGTAGGCACTCCGCCACGCAGCCCGGGTTTAGAGATGCAAAGCGGCCTAGTGCGGTACTATCTGCGCTAGCGCAATCGGCCCATGGCTCATCCTTGGTCTGCGGGTGCTTGGCAGGAAAGGTGGTGCAAACCTTCACCGAATCCTTGGATTTGAAAATTGCACATTTGAGCATAGCGCCGCACGCGCCATTCCACGTCCAGCGTAGCTACCTGGCAAATATGACTCCCGGTGTTCAATGCAACACACGCTGGACTTAAGTCTGTTGCGTTTGTGTAAGTTGGCATGCACAGCGAAATGATGTGAGACTATCTATGCGCCCACGCATCAGGAGTGGGTCACCCTTTGAAGATACGCACAGGCCGCCCCACAGAAATTGCTGCAAAACCAGGAACAGTTGTTGGAATCAGCCCAAACAAACAGAACAACCACATGGGCTTGATCGAAAGACAAAAAAACAGATGTTCACCTCTAAATGGGAAAAGTTACCCATGGTCTTTTTGGGGCCCTAAATGCAATATGGCTGTGGGTCAAAAACATGTACCCAAAATGGAACCCTGGTAAATGGAAACATGGACTAAAACCTGCCCGCGGTCCGATTCCTGATGCTTTAATTTTGACCCATACCCAAATGTCAAGCGATCAGCTGTAGGGAGAATCCTGCGATTTCTGATGGTCATGTTGGGGCCCTACATGGAATATGGATCAACCCCCACATGAGCCACAATCAAAACCCGGTATTACAATGGTCTACCCAGAACCATGTAACGCACTAAGAAGGCGGATATCCGCAGCTATTTACGGCTGGGACCGAATCGGTTTTGATTGATCCCTACTAAAATAGGTTCTAAAATGGGTGGTGAATTCACCTAGATGGGATCCCATTGGTTTTGACAACCACAGCCATATGGATCAACTCCATGCCGTGAACCCACTCGCCGCGCCAGCGGCCGCTCGAGCAGCACCAGGGTGCCAGCTTCAAGGGGGCGCGTGGCAAACCAGCCCCGGCCTCGAGGGACTTGGGTGCGTCTTGTTTTAGAGTCGACCCCCGCAAAAAATGCAGGTTTTCCGCCCAAAACAGGGGAGGTGAGTTTTTCAGGGGGCCCCCATCCAAAAAAACAACATACCTGGTGGTTGTTCCTCTTGGTTCCCTTTTGTCCCCCATTAAAAAACAGAAATGCAAAAACGCGGGGGGGGGGGGGGGTTCTCTCCAAAGGTGCGCCGCCCACTTCTTCGCAAGTCCCGGGCCCTTCCCAGGCGAAGACTGCAGCGCGATGCCCGGAGAGATCTCAGTCGGAAAGCGGTGGACCGCCTTTTGCTCGGTAAGGGAACCCACTCAGTATATAAAGACCCCATTGATTGCCCGAAAATGTGGTGTGGGAACACCAAAGAGCGAATCAATTATTCTGGCTCAAATCTTTTTGGACCCTAAAACACCTATCGCTCTTCTCGTTTTGGACCCTGTGCACCTATCGGTTTCTTTTTGGACCCTAAAAAACCTATCCCCAAGATCCTTGGCGCCGACTTGGCGCCTGAAAGCTAAGTCGCCGTCCACAAAGTGCGGGGAGGCGGCTTGTGTGCTCGCGTCCGAGTCTGGCTCCGACCTGCGCCGGAGCAAGCGCCAAAAAGAGTGCTCAACCTAGGTTAGAATAAGGGTACCCGATTCTTTTTTCTGTAGTCTATTTTAGTAGGGGAACAGGGTTCCCCAAAAACAAGGGTAAAAGGGCACTACTGGGGGACCTAGCAAAGGAATCGGAGCTCACCGAAAAATGGCAGGGCACGGTGCTTCTGGTTCAGCTTCCCGGCCAACTGAGCGGTTTGGCGCCGATTCGGCGGTTTGGTGGTTGGCCCACTTCCCCTCAAGAACCCGGGCAAATCCAAACCACCACTCCAAACCAACCAAGGGTTACCTGCCAGGTTTCCCTTGAAACCCAAAAAACATCGACCCTCAAGAAAACCAAAGGCCACCTGAGTCACAATCAAAACCCGGTATCAAAATGGTCTACCCAGAACCATGTAAAGAAATCACACGGCGGCCGCCCTTGCTAACCTTCATCTACCCGGGTTTTGATTGTGGCTCACCTCCCGCCTCCCGCGCCCGTGCCGTGCACGTTTTGGGTTACTCGCGGCCTCTCCAAGAGCGACATCAGGGACTCCTTGCGCCCGCGGGCGTGGAGTGTGAGCGTGTTGGCCACCTTCCGGTAGCTCAGCTTGTTGGCCTCTCGTCGAACGTCTTCACAACGCTTAGGGGTACGGTGGCAAAACATTGTTTTGTTTTGTTTTTTTGCAGCCCCCGACTAAAAATGCACGGAAGCCCCCCCAAGAAAAAGCCTACACGGGTGCTTCTTTCTTTTTTTGGGCAGCCCCCTACTAAAATTGAACAGAACCAAAAAACAAACTCGAAGGCGTTGAGGCGTTGAACCACTAGGCTCTCTTGATTCCAAGTGCCGCACCCAAAGTGCTGGACCTGTAAGCTGGTCGAAGGCTGTCTGCAGCCTTGCCCAGTCAACCTTGGGATGCGGGTATGGGTCAAAACCAATGGTACCATTTTGGCGTAGGTGCACCACCCAATTTAAAACCAATTTTAGTGGGGATTGGGATGTTCACTGGGGGATAACCGGGGTTTTGACCCATGGCCATGCCAGTCTAGGGACGTCTGGCAATTCTCCGAGCATCCGGCAGAAAGCGCCAGGTCATCAGATCGCCAGCCCCAAAGGCTTGCACAGTCCAGCGGTGAACGCCTTCCAGTGCGACACTCGCGCCGGGAATGTCAAGCGCTTCATCGCAACAGGTTTGACTAAGGCTGCGTCTTAAGCCTCTTTGCTTTCTTCGCAGTTCGCCGCATGGGGAATCTTCAACCAATGGTTGCGAAGTCAGCATGTTGCTATTGCGAGCTAGCAAATAATAGCAAGTTCTCGGATCGGTAAGGCGTTTGGGATGATTCAGTGCTCTGCCGGTGATGCTTGACGTGAGCTCTCATGTGACTCTCTTGCGTTGATAGGAACTTGCACTAGCCTCAATCAAATGCCTTTACCACCACTCCATGCTTGCAGAGATCTTTTCCTTCGAGCTCTACGTGCCGATTCTCTTCTTTCACCGCTAGCGCTGCTTGCGCGCGGCTTGAGAAAGGCACTCGTGTCTCTGGGTTTTGCCAGAGCAAACGAACTTTGGTAGAAACTGCGACGAAACTTTGTACACGGTAGAAACTTTTGGCAAGCAAGCTGGCTGGATGTCTCAGTTCAACTCTTGCGTGCATCCCTTGCAAACCAAGAACAAACCAACAGTTTTTTTGTCCAAAAGGGAGTCCCCTATCTTGAGAAACCCCCATTGAAGGAACCAGTAAGCGTTGGCCTTGCCTATCGGCGATCACCGCTAGGCCTCTGCGATCGACAATCTCTGGCTGCTGATGGTTTGCTGAGCTGCGCGCTTTCTTCCCCGCGCGAAGCCTGGCGCAAGAAAAAAAAACCAAAGACCCCTGGCAGCCGACTGGACGAAGCCTTGTGACAGCTCCTGCGACAACTGTGGCAGCACCTGCAGTTGAACTTTTCGCCCGCGTGGCTGTTGCTTTTTCAAGTTTGATATGCATGTGGCACCAGATCCGCAGTGTCGTCCCGCATTCGAGGAGTGATAGTCTTCCGCACCTGGTCATGAAAAACCATCTTATCCACAACTTTGCCAAGGCTACCAAGACTTGGGTCAAGCTGTTGCGACGCCTTGCACTCCAAGGCAATCCTTGCATTCGCATGAAGCTGCACTCGCGCTGCATCTAGCTCTGCACTCGCGCTGCATCTAGCTTTCTAAAAACTATCATCATTCAGCGCCAGACCGAGCATCCATTTCGTCCGAAAGTCTTGCTTCCAACGAGTACAGCCGGGCCTGCATGCCGCGGAGAGACAATCGCGCACCGTCACTTCCAGGAGTACTCAGCCTAAGATATATATGGGCCTCACTGATCTTTGCAGGCAATGGGTTCGAGTGCACCCATTTGGCCACCTGCGCAGACTTGAACATCAAGGATCACAACTGAAGCATGTGGGGCTTGATCTATCTTCCCTTCGGTCTTCAATTCACCATGGCTCACTTTTCCCATGCTGAACTATCAATCAATAAATCAGTGAAAAACAAAAAAACAAGGGCTCATCCAATATGGCTGTGGCTCAAAAACATGTACCAAAACTGCTGGGTAAATGGAACCAAAGACTAACCCCCGCGTAACCCTAGCAGTTTATTTTTGAGCCACACCCATGTACCACGGACCTGCTGACACGTCGTTTGGCCTTCTGGTCCAGCGACAGCAGCTCCCTGGCAAGACCTGACTCGTGCCACGAGGAGTCGCTTCAGATGTCGATTGCCCTAAGCAAATGGCTGTGGTGGTCAAAAATGGGGTAACCCCCAAATGGGTTGCCCTGGAAAAAAAGAAACAGGGGGTGGGGAAAAGGCCTTTGTTCTTCTTCTGTTTTTTCTTTTTCTCCCGCATGTGCCTTTTTTTGGGGTGTTTTTGTTTGGGGACACCAAGAGAGCCAAAACCTCTTAGGGTTCCCCTACTTCAAGACACACACCTCCGTCTTGACCCCGGAAACCCGCGGCAACCCGCTCGGCGAATTCTTGGCCGCGGCGCCGCTCAGGTCTTCTCGCTTCACCAGCTCCAAGGACTGGCATGGGTCGACGCCCGAGCGGCGTGGGTTTTTTCGGGTGGAGGCCCCAGAGTGCTGGACGACAAATGAGCTGCGTGTTGGCAGCCCGACTAAGCTGGGGAAAAACATATCGAGCCACGTTCTTTTTCTTTTTTGGCAAAGTTCACGAGCAAGTTTTGAGGCCCTTGGACTCCGGAGGACGGCAGAGGGGCCAGCATTGAGGTTCCAGGTTCCGCGGTGGGCTGCCACGCAATGGAATCAAACTCAGCCCTGTAGGCTTGGCTCCAGTTGTCGTTTTTGCAACCTTCCAGCGGTGGGCACAGATTGGTAGTTGTGCGCACAAGTACCGGGGTCTTCTACTCGACTTCACTGTCCTGACTTGTCTGCAATGACGTTGACAGGCACTTTGCAACGTGGAGACCTTGCAGGGCCCTCGACGCGGCGACCCTGCATGACCCTGGTGGAAGAATCCGACCCAAAGTCTCGGAATCAGCTGGGATTGTGCCAAAGCTTTTGACCATACAGTGCCAAAGCTGCCCCCGAGCTGCCCCGGGCCGAGGCTATGCGGAGTCCCACGAAAGCTGCAGTGGGCGGGTGAATCCACAACCGCTCCACGCAGCTAAGTGGCATGGCCCTCGGCCACGGGAACTTTTGTTAGGGCACTCGGCATTGGTTGCGTGCGGCTTTTGCTCAGATTTAGCTTGGGCAGCTTTGATTCACGCTTTTTCAGCCGCGGATGCATCTCCTCAGCACCGGAGACACATCAGGCGAGGCTTACAATCGCCGGGGCCAGCATGCAGAGCAAAACAAAGTTGAGAAAACTGTTGCAACGCCACCTGCAACTCCACCCACCGCACCCCACCCATTCCACCCCTGTGTTTGCCACAAGCCCTGCCTGTGTTCACGCATTCCACACACCCACACACACACACACACATTGCACTGCGAGATTCACCCAAAACCCTAGAAGCTTTATCAACACCAACCTACTTTGCAAAGAGGAGAGCAGCAGGGAAACTCGCGATGTCTGCTTCTTGATGCTCCACATGGACACAGAGCGGTGCCATGTGCAATTTCTGCTTAACAAAAACAAGCACTTTAATTCATGTATGCAACAGTGCTGTCGCGACCAGCTCAAACAGCTGACCAAGCGCCCAAGTGTCCAACTACAAAAAAAACACCTTGCAATTTGAATCCTGTCCTCTGCCGTGGTGTCTGCGAAGGCTTGCAGCTCTGCAAGACGTCCGGTCAAAGCACTGAACATGTCCTTCACAAACGTATCAAAAAGGCGTGCAACACCTCTGCGTCGACTCATTCTTCCATCAAGTGTCCTTCACGGACCCGCTCAGCTCATTGTGGTGTCCAATATGTCTGTCAGAATGTGCTTCCTAGAACGATCGAGCTGCAACTGCTGCAAGTGGGGCGTGACTTGGGTGCTGGCCATGTTCGCATTCACTGCATCTACAGCCGCATGCAGCTGGGAGACAGTGCCTCTGTGAGCCTGCAAGAAAGAAGCGAGCCACGGACCCCTGTTTGGTTGCTTTTAAGGGGAAACAACCACAAACTACACCCATTTGTAAGGCACCGCTTCCTATGCGAAACACCCAACCAGGGCGTTTTCCCCCCCCCCCCCTCGTTCCCGATTCCAAGTCTCCGACCTCTTCTAAGTCCTGGAGCTGCGTCACCACTGCCTCGATCCTCGACTTCAACTCCGGCGCCTGGCTGGAACTCGACTCTGCGACCGCTGCGGTTTCCACTACCCTCGAACCACCAGGGAAAATTGGCATATACCCTGTATATAGTGGCTGTATTATGGTATATTATGGTGGTTGTGTATCCCATTCAACTGGAGGTAGTGGTTTAGGGGCAGTGTTTTGAAACATCATAAATCTACTTTCACAGACCCTCTGTGAACATCATGTATATAAATCTCAACTTTCGATTTTCCGGACCTGTTCAAATTCATAGTCACGTCAGAACGCAGCCTTATCCTTGAGCTTGTCAACGTCAACCCGCATGGCCTTGCTGGACTCTACACTGACAACTGAGCATTCAGCCAATACAAAGACATCAATCCAGGGTTGAGGGCGGCACGTCTGTTTTCACGTGCATCGTGTTGAGGTAGGCATTGAGGGGATTCATGTGTCCCTCCACCATCCTTGAGACCTGCCAATAAGATAGAATATGAATACTGCGCTCTGCATTCTGGCCCTGTCTGATCCATTGCCTGATTACTGTGATCTGCGATCCTCTCATCGGTTTGACCTCCGGCGCATCCGTTCTTGAGGGGTTCCCCATTGAAATTCGTTGCATGGGCGAATTGATCTTCACACAGAGCCGCAAACGGCTGATGTCCGCCACCAGGCGCTGCACTTCTGCCAAATGATCCTGAAAGAGATTGTGCAGATCGCTGCTGGAGTGAAAATTATTGCGTCATCACTCTCTATCCCACAAGCAGCTTTGACAAAAGCGACAGAGTGATTGCTTCAGTTGTTGTTACCTCAAAGCTAGCCTCATGCATTGGCCTGGCTGTGCCTCGACACCGCGGCCCAACCTTTCCACACTCTGCTCTGTCATCCTGTGAAGGGTCTCCAGTTCCTCAAGGGAATGAACAAGGCAACAAGAACAAGGAATCTATTTCATGATCACTCACTCACGCACACACTCACTCACTCGCTCGCGTGCTCGCTCGCTCACCAAACAATCAAATTCTGAGTGCGTGCCTCCCCCTTCCGCTGGACGGCTGATTCGACGTCGTCGTGCTTCACTTGCAATGATTGCAGTTCTAGCCTGCTCAGAGTCACTGCAAGTGCGGAGGCCAATAGTGAGGAAGGTGGCTTGCTATTTTCAAGACCTGGCTATATTCCCTTTAAAACCCATCCAAAAAGGGTGCTCGTGCGAGTCTCTGAGAAAGTGCACCAAGTCTGAAATCAGGGCTCCGGCACAGCAGCGCCGGTCTTTTCCAGCTCGTTCTTCAGAGACTCGTTGGCATTCACACTGTCCTGAGCAGTACGCCATGTCGGCAACCAGAATAAAACATGTTCAGCACTTTTTGTCCTGCACAATCTCGTTGCAGGCAGCAATCTTCTCATGGGATTCATCGACTGATCGGCTCAAGTCCTGCGCGAGAAAAACAACACTCAAGAAGTCGTTTTGGATGAGGATGTTCAGCAAAAGCGCCTGCATGCAGGACTGTACCGAGGCATGGCGGAGTTGATCTGCTGCTTGCAGCTCGCGCCAGCGCTCGAAAGCCTCGAAGCACTGGAATCGATATCCGGCCAGATGAGTTGTCAGGTCGGCACCGATTGAATCATCTCCACATCTCTTTCCAAGCCTCACTCGGGTCATGAAAAATATGGTATTGACATGGCCTCAACACATGGTGGTTGTTCTAAACTCCTTTGTCTCGAAACGGCAATTCTTCGCGGGAGAACAAAATACATTTGCAGATTCATCGGCGTGCCTTGTTTCTTCCTAGGACCGGAAAGTCCCGTCTGCTCCGGCTGGAAAGTCGCAACTCTTCAGTACGAAAGTAGTACGCGAAACGCATTCGGTACAAAGGTGGTACACAAAACCCGTTTCTGCAGCTCCGGCTGGCGAGTCGCGGCTTGTCACCAAGGCACCATTTGGGGTGCCGGCCGCCACAGGACGACACAAGACGCACGCCCTGAGCTGCAGCCCAGCGCTATCCACGAACCCACTTGTGCCCTTCCGCGTCCCTCTAGCAGGGCCTGGCGCTTCCGCGCGGCAAATTTTGAGCGGAGGTGTTTTGAGCGGAGGTGCTGACCGGCGCGCTTGGAGCCCGCCAAAGAAGGGAAATCGTTTGAAACCGAAAGCAAGGGGTTTAGTGTGCATGCTCGTCTCCTGCAAACAGGGCGTGTAAGCAAACTCCTTCATATCTCACTGATTCAACTTCTACACAAAATGTCCGAGAGAAAAAAGAAAAGAAGGAAAAAACAACACAAATCTTTCGCGGAGGTGTCTCAACCAACACCGATGGTCGCCGAATACTCAACTGCTTACAAGGACCTTTAGAACCCCTCCCATATGCAAAGGAATAAAGGCGGCCACGCCTATATGAGGTTGGGATTATTCCGTCACCTTCATCTCCCCTGGATTTGATTGTGGTTCACTGTAAGCTTGCTTGATGCCGTCTCAAACGACTGGTGCGGGCGATCTATTGGTATGGGGTTGACCCTGTCTCCAACGCCTTCTCCCTGAATGGTTGCATGTTCGATATGGCTGTGGGTCAAAAATAGGTACCCCAAATGGAAGCCTAGTGGAAACATGGACATTTCAACCTGCGGTCCGATTCCTGGTGGTTTAATTTGACCCATACCCATACCATGAAATCGAGCATGGAGTCTAAGAGCAGCACCTTCTGGGGCCATCAGAACTCCTGGGAGCCATGAAGTGAGATTCTTGGAACTCGGACCCCAGCAAAAATAAAATAAAATATTTGTTTGCCTGGTTAGTGGAAAACAAAAAGGGAACCCCCCCCCAAAAAAAAAAGCAAAAAAATAAAAGACAAATGGGGGAACTAGTTCTGGGGATTGAAACTGGTCACAGCTCGTTTCACGGCCAAGGACTGTGCCCAATGGAGCCGGCTGGCGATCCCCAGAGCCTGAGGCGTGCGAGTTTTCCCCTCCGGGTTGGCCGTCAGATCCCCCGCGAAAAGTTGTCTTGGGTGTGGCTCATTTTTTTCAGAGCTAGGGCAAACCGCAGGTCTTAGTCTTAGTCTTTGGTTCCATTTACCGTTTGGTGTCATGTTGGTACATTTATTTGAGCCACAGCCTCTTAACTCTTGGCGGGTGAAATGGAAACACAATCACTAAGCCAACTAAAAACCTGAAAAAAACCCTGGGAACCACCAAGGCATGTGCCTTCTACTTCCTCCTCTGTCTCCCGCTGCAAACCGAAAGTCTGGCCTTGGCCCGCGGCAAGCACAGTGCGAACGATATGAACAGTAGGCGAGCTGCCGATCTGGCTAAAGACAATGCCCATGCACCATGCCATTCGCTGGAAAGTGCTGGCGCAATTGTCCGCATGCTGCCTGAAACGCAACGCCAGTTTGGTGGGTTATGCAAGCAACAAGTAAGCGATACTCC